AAAGTTTATATTGTTGACGAAGAAGAAAAAACTGATATGGTATATAATTTCATTGTCAAATGAAAAATACCTTGAATAATGTTTTAAAACATAAAATTGTGTATAACATTCTTTTCTTATTTTAATAGATGTACGAATTTTTCCGTAAAATGTCTCCGAATGATAAAGTTATCATATTTTTTGGAAAGAAAACTAAAGTTGATGATGTAGCAAGTGATTTAGCTTTACAAAGTGTTAATTGTCAAAGCATACACGGGGGAAGAGAACAGTCAGATCGTGAACAAGCTTTAGAAGACTTAAAAACTGGTGAAGTACAAATTTTATTAGCCACAGATGTTGCCAGTAGAGGCATCGATATCGAAGATATTACGTATGTTTAATTTTATATATTTTAAAATTTTAATCAAACTTAAATTCTAATCAAATAAATTTATTTTAGACATGTATTAAATTATGACTTTCCGAGAGATATAGAAGAATACGTTCATCGAGTTGGTCGCACCGGTCGTGCAGGACGTAGTGGGGAAAGTATTACCTTCATGACCAGGAAAGATTGGACACACGCAAAGGATCTAATTAGTATTTTAGAAGAAGCAAACCAAGTATGTTCTAATATATTTATATACTTATATTGATTCAACTTTTATATATGTATATATTTATATATGTATTTTTATTTATACAGGAAGTACCTGAGGAGTTATATCAAATGGCTGAGCGTCATAAAGCATGGAAAGGAAAGCGAGCGAATGATAAACACTTTGAACGATTAGATAAATATGATTATAATCGTTCGTCAAGAAACAGAAGATGGTAGTTCCTGTTTATATTATTTATAAGTATATGTTTCTGACAATTCTTAAATTAATCATTATTATAAAAACTATTTTTCATACAATTATATAGAAATCGAATCTTTTCCTCAAAAGTAATTAATTCTTACTATTGTTATAATATTGTAGTGTAATATCGAAAAAAAATATTTGCCTTTGATAACACTATAATGTTATAATGATCGATGATTCGATAAAGAATTATTCTGTACCATAAGTAAAATTAGTATTTTTTCCTTTTTATATTTTATTTTTTATATAGTAAATGTATTCAATTAAAATTCATTAATTATTATTTTCTAAGTAATTTTTAAGTAGTTTTATAAGAAATGTTACCGTTAATTGTTTATATTTTGGATATAAACTGAATAAAAATATAACTTATATAAAAACTGTGTGATATTATTTTTTATTTTTTTTTTTACAAACATTCGATGTAATAAAATATTTAAAAAAGAAATGTGTACAAAATAAAAATACAAAAAAAAAATAAAGTATTAAAATTAATAAACTAATCTTTATTTGTATTTGTACTATAAAAATAATAAATTACGTATTTAAATAAAATATTTGAATTTGCATAGTAATAAAATATTAAAATAAATAAAAATATTTCATAGTAAAAATAGTAATGTTATATTATTATAACTATAATATTTAAAGTTTTGTTTAGAAATAAATAAATAAAATAAAATTTTAATAAATTTTCAAATAAACATAGTAAAAAATTTTAAATTATTTAATTAATGTAAACTAAGTAAAACAATAAAAAAAAATAAGTTCTCTGTAAATATAAAATATATTGATAATAATTTGCACAGTATATATTTTTTGTACACAAATTATTATAAATTTAGCTATTGTACTATTATTATAAATTTTGAATTTTTTTATTAATATCAAATTTTAACTATATACTTTGAAATTTCGTGTTTTGGTATATTTTTCAGCAAATATTTTTCCACTTGGAGTTGGAATTGAAAATGCTATATCATCTATAGACATAACATAACCGAAATAAAAATTAGCTCTGAAATAATTAAAAAAATTATTAATTATTAATATATATTTTAATATATAATTATAAATTTCTAAATTATTTTTAAGTAATATAGATATTTACCTTAATATATCAACCAATTTAGTAGCTATACCTTGTTTACGATGACTTAAATCTGTCCATACAACATTTATACCACATTTAGCAGGACTACTTTCTGCTGTGCAACAATCTAATTCTAATAATTCAGGTATCATGCGATATGCAGTTGTTATATGTTCTGCGACTAGCACTCCTATGATGACTTTATCTCTTATATATAAATAAACCTAAATAATTAATTGTATTAAAATTTTATTAAAAATAAAATTTCTAATAAAATTATTTTATCTTGTATTTTTTGCTATTACTTTTTTTTGTTCATAATCTGATAATTTTGTGTCACCTAATCCTAAATCTCTGTCTACGTATACTAAAACTTCATTCACTTTCTTCCAACATAATTTTGAGTCACCTGGTTCTATTAAGATTACTCGACTTGATGTAAGAGGATCTTCTATAACTACACGTTCCGTTTTCCAACCCTGAATTTTCAAGATAAAATGTCCAAATTATTATTTAAATGAGCTATATATATATAATTTATACATACCGGAAATTTTAAACTTTTTTTATTATTATGACAGTTTAAATGAGCATTTTCATCTTCTGGATCTCCTATTTGATACACAATACCACATTCTATACATTGTGTTGCTCCAAAATTTTTTTGTCCAACATCCAGTTGATATTGATTATCACAACCATTTAATTTCATAGATAATTGCCAATTTGTATTTTCTTTTCCATTATTTAATTTTTTATTAATTTCACTAAAATTGATACAATTATAAGAAATGATTTAGAAATTAATTAAATATTTTAAATACTTTGCTTACTTAAACTCTTTATTAGCAGAATATCCCTTATTAAATAATGGATAATACTTTTGTTCTGTATTTTCATTATTATCTAAAGGAATATTCTTCAAAACAGTTGGTATACTAATATCTTTGATATTTGTAGTTAATGTCATATTACTTAGTTCACTTGTTGGTGACATTGTGACATTATTTAATACTGATTTTAATGGTGAAACATGTTCAAGTTTTTCATTAGTTAATACTTCCATAGTATCATAATCATCATCAGCCCAATCATTTTCTAGAATTTTTAATATATTAGCTACTTTATCTTTTTCTATTGTAGTTTCTAATTCTGGTTCATCTACTGATAAATCAGTTGCATCAAAAGAAATGTCTACAAGTTTTTGCTGTTTATGAGATTGATTTTCATTCTTTTGATTTAATACCATTTTACCATTTGATTCAATTTTTAATTTTACATTATTACTTATAGTTACTATAGCTGAAGAACTTTTCTTTGACGATTTTTTAATTTTGAAAAAGCGTTTATTAAGATCAATTTCTGGTGATGTATTAGTTACTATTTCCAATTCTGGTATTTTAATTTTTTGTGATAAATTTTTTTGTATATTGTTTGATATATCATTAATCATTTCTATGTTATTATTATATTTTGTACTAATTAAATTTGTTTTTGGTTTTGGTTTTTTGATACTATGTGATACACCAGCATTGATACCTCCTATGGAATGTCTTTTAATATATTTCCTATGATAAGGCACACGTCTTATATGATATTCTTGACGTTTTTCTTTTGGTATTTCAGGACTGATCTTATAAATTTTTGTCTCAGAATAATTATAAAAATTTTTAGTACTCAATGTTACATTTTTTAGTTTTGATTCACAATTTTTATCTTGAAATAAAGCTGTTCTAACTTTTGACATTAAATGATTTGTATCAGTTTTTAATAATTTTGTAGGCGTATTTTCTAATTTATCTAAAGCACATCTCTTTGACATCTTTTCCTTCTTTTCAGGTGAAAGTTGTTTTTGATAAAGATTCTGTTGATTAAAAAAGACAAAAATTTATTAAATCATTAAAATGAAAAAAAATTTTCTAATTTTATTTTGATTTATTATTATTTAAATTATTAAATGAATAAAATCTTTTTGATTTTGGAATTAAAGATATTATAATTATAATGAAAAAAAACTATAAAAGAACATAATATTTTCAAATTGATATTATATTTAAAACAATATAACATCAATATATTTTTTATATTTATTATTAATAAAAACGAATAAAATATATTTTGAAGATTATAGTGAACAAATAAAATAACCTAAAGAAGCATAAAGAATCATTCGATATTAAAAATAATAGATATAAAAATATTTTTATTTATTTTTTTTCTTTTTAACTTTTCAATAGTTAATTAAAAGTATGTTACCATTAGATTTCTTTATTTTTCTATAATAACTATAAATAATAATAAAATTTATTATAAAACAATATAACACATTCATATAACAATTGACAATTCAAAACCGCTAAAAATTTTCTGATTCTTTACTTTACCTTGCTTTCGCGCTTTTTTACTTTTACCTGAAACTATATATGTAAGTGATTGGAAACACTATGTAAAAAATATGAAAGATCAAAATGAATGTAAAAGTCATTATATATATATATATATATATATATATATATATATATATATAATACATATAATATATATACATATTTAAAAATATTAAAATATATTTTAAAAATTAAGTTTTAAATTTTTGGTATTAAAAATAAATTAATATGAAAATAATTATTTTACAAATTTATTTTAATATTATATAATATGTAGATATTTAAATATATTTTATAATTGTAATTAATTTTTAAAATATAGTATTCGAAAAATATTTATTTTAATGAATAAAATTATAATATATATTTTTTATTTATATACATTATTTAAATTTGATTATGACTATTACATATATAAATTTTTAGAATAGTTTTTTTTTTTCTTTATTATATGTCAAAAATTAATATATTAATGTAAAATGTTATAATTTATATTATTTTTTTTATTATATTATATTACATTCTTCGAAAAAAAATGATAAACATAATATTTGAGAAATATTGATTTTTGAAAAGTACAATATAAATTATATTTAAAATTTTATTTAACAAATATATATTAATCTACTATTATCTACAAGATATATTTTATTATACATAACATATATTCGCGGATCAATTTTGAAGAATAAAGTCAATTAAATATAAAAGTTAATACACGAAAATGTTAATTGATTAAATTATAATCAATTTAGAATTTACATTAAATGAAGTGAGGCAGAAACAGAATGAAATGATAGATAGAACTTTTCTATCTTCATTTCGCTTCATTTAATACAAACTTAATAAATAAAGAACATTTTTATATACTAACTTTTTCGATTTGATTTCTATATTTGATTTGTTCTAAAAATATCCTATGAATATATTATCTATTTATACATCAACAAGTTCTAAATAGTTGTGCAATCAAAACACGAATTGTTATTTGAAAAAATTGATAATCATAGCAAGCATGGACGAGTTTTATATGTAATTTCAAGTTTTTTTTATAACAATTCTTTAAACTAATTCGATCTTCATCCAAACTTTTTACTACTCAAGTAAAGAAAATGAAATATTGATAAAACATTATCAATTTGTGTTTCGATTGTGCAATTATTCTGAGCTGAGAATCATATATGATCTGTCAATAATATAAATAAACTTTAATCAATAATGAAATATTATTCCAAAAAGTTTATCTTTGTAAATAGCGGGAAAGATAAATAGGATAAAAAAAAATCATTATAATCAATAACAAATAATTAAAAATTTTCAAACCAAAAATTTGTTTAATTTGAATATGTTATAGCTAGTTCGTGAAGCACAATATCTCCAGATATTTTAAGAGTATCAATGATGGATGGTTGTAATCTGTGTTTGAATTCACCAATCATTTTGTTTCCTAACCATATTGTATATGCTTCGAATTCACATCGAATTCTACAAAAGAAACAATAAAAATGTGAATTAAAAATTCAACAAAAAAAAATTTTAAAAAAAATAATTAAAAATTAATTAATAATATCTTTAATTATATTTGTTTGAATAAAATTTTTTGTAGGGTATTTTTTTTAACCTACGTCAGAAGAAAATCACGACCAGGCATCCATGACAAATGACCTGAGTGTCTTTCTTCGTATCCCCAAGATCCATTTGTCCAGAAATTCATTACAACATAAGGTACATTGCTGCCATATAAAAAACGAGGATTTAAATGTAATGCAATTACTGGATGTGGATAAATTGCTTTTCCTTTTTGTAGATTTACGTAAAATCTATAATCAAATATATATAAAATTAATTATTCCCTATTTCTTGTTTGAATTTTTTTTAATCCTAAAAATCATAAAAACTCACGAATGTGGAAGAAGTTTTAATCTTCCTGCAATGAAAAGTCTGGTTCCTATTTTAAATTCATTTTCAATGTTTACCGTGATTGGAACACTCTATATATAATTTTTGATATTTAGTAGTAATTTCAATTAATAAAAACAAATATAAAATATAGTATTTAAAAAAAAACCTACAAGAAAATCGACGAGTGGTTGATCAATTTTTAAAGTTAAAATGTTATTTGGTCTGCATAATTTTGGATCAGGATAAACGAATAATTCCAATTGTCTAAATTTAGCATCTTCTAATGATCCATTAATTTCTAAATTTATTACATCTTCAAGAGGTATTCTATATGCAAAAGCACAAAAATGTTCTCCATTTACTGCAATCTAATAAAATTAATTTTGAAAAATATTGCTATAAAATTTATAATTATATCAATCAATCTTTAATTCTTACTTGATATTCATTAGCAGTACAAAAAATTAAAACATGCACATAGGAATTGCGCCGAAAAGCAATATGTCCTGCAGGAGAACAAGTCTCTTCCTCTTCCCAACAACCCTTAAATTTTGAATTTCGAACCACATAACCTCTGTCTAATCGTGCATTAAAATGCAATGCAATATTTTCAGCATTTTTGCACAATAAATTAACTGAAAATCTATAAGAATATTTAACAATCTATAATATGTTTAACAAATATATTTTTTGATTTCTTTATATATATATATATATATATATATATATATATGATTATTAAAATTTATAAAAATTTCGATTATAAGATTTTTCTTACGCTAAGATATCACCTCAAAGCATCAGGAGGAATATATCCTGTAATCACGATAGCTGATGTTGGTTTCAGAGGTTGTAATGGAACAGGTTTTGAAGCATTCTAGAATATAATGTGTGCATATATTTAGTTAGAAAAATACATTATATAAAAAAATTTACTATTAAAATAAAATAAATAAATTACCAGCGAAAATTATATTGTTAAAACATTCCATATGAGAATAAATATAAATCATATTAATTAATTAATGTTTTTATTTAGTGTGCAATCACCAGAATATAGAGATAAGATTTTAAAAATAATAAACTGCATTCATTTTAAGTGTTTTTAATGTATTTTTATTGCATTACGGAAAATCATTAATCTAATACTGTTCAATCATTTATATAATTATTTACCCTATTATATTATTATATAATTATTTACTCTGAGAATGATGACCGATGAAATGTATTATTAATAAAATAATTTTTTTTATTAAAGATATTTAGATCATAAATAAAGATAAAAGAAAAATTAGAAAAAGGATAGTAATACGATAGTATAAGTGCTTGTAAAACAGTACATATAAACTAGTCAGAGTCCGGATACGAATCTTCGACATTAGTCGCCATTGGGGTTATTTTACTATTTGTGTAAATATTCATCTTCATTTTCTTAATATAAGATAAGTATTCACAATTATTTGAATCTAAATGAAGAGAAAGACAGAATTAAAAAAACATTTTATTATTATATCTTATATTATATCTTAATATCTAACTTAAAGCTATATTTATTTCATAATTTTTAATATAAAAAATATAATTTTTATAAATATAATCTTCTGTCAATTTATAATAAATTGTATTTTAATATTTTTTATAAGATTTAGATAAATTAAGTTTTAGATTAAAAAAAATTAAAATAGAAAAAAATTAATAGATACTTATATATTTTAAACTTATAATTTAAAATTAGCATAATCAATATGATTATAGTTATTAATCAATTTTATAGAATATTTCAATTCATAATTTTTTCTCAATGTAATGAGATTTATTATAATATTTATATATATATATCTAAATTTAAAAAATAAGAAAATATTTTAAACATTTGTAATGTAACAAATTCAAAATATATTTTTATATTTAATATCATATATACATAATAGGTTATAAATAAAAATTCAATCTTTTTTTATATTATCTATGTTTTAATATTTAAATATAATTACAAAAAAAAAATAATAATATATTCACAATACATTTATTATATTTACCTAATTGAATATATAATGTAATATAATTCATCACAAGCTATTTATAACTCAAATTAATAAACAGAACTGATAGAAATTTATTTTGTATGAAATAATATAAAGCAGATATTTGTTTTGTTAATTGAATAAAATATACAATTGTTAATTGATGAACATTAAATTGGTCAGAATTAATTATTAATTATATTTAAAGCAATGTAAATTTGGCTTGATTAAAACTTCAATTATTTCTCTATATACTATACAATTAACTTCTTCCATTATTGAATGATGGACTCAGTTTTATAACCTATTCTTTTGAAAGAATAGGTAAGATATGTATATTTTATTCAATTGGTAAATCTAGATTTCTATTATCTATGACTTAATTATATTATCGATCAATACTCACTAATGGTACTGTTTCTTCATCGACAAACGAAAATTCACGAAGAGCATTTTCTTTTGTTTGTATGAAAATTTCAACTTGATATACAGACATATTCCTTTAATAAGTTTCAAGGATGATTTATTGAAACGCCTCGTTTTAAGCCGCACTTCTAATGTAATAGCGATATCTTTATTTAGTTTTTTGATTTATTCACAAATATATATTTCATTCGATAAAAAGCAATTTTATTTAAAAAAACAATTTATTTTTTTTATTAAAAAACTTCGATTCATTTTTATGAAGTTTAAAGTTTTTTAATATTAATTTTTCTTAGAATATAATCATTAAAAAATAAAAAAAAATGTATTTATAACATATTTTATTATGTAGAATTATATTTTTTCTTTAAATATAATAATTTTTTCAAAACTTGAAAATAAACATTATATTAATATTTGTAAATTTTTTTATATTGCAAATGTATAGATATGTATTTTTTCTTTAATTCCTTTTTTTTTTGTTTCAACAATCAATAAATTCATTATTTTTTATTTTTATTTCAGATACTTTATTTACAAGTAGAAAAATATTAGTAAAAATTAGTAAAATTATTTCATTGCTACTGTGACTTTTTTTTCGACTAGATTGTTCTATTAGAAATATATTTTCTTCTTTTTTAAAAAAGATATATATATTTGTATATATCCATAATTGATATTTATCTTTTTTAATTTAAGAATACAATAAATTATTTTTTTATATTAATTTTGCTTTAAATTATCAGTTGATAAGTGTTAATATAAATTTTTGAAAAATTAAGGCAGTACATGCTTTACTAAGTGAATAATTTACAATATGCTATTTGATTCTATATTTCACTCAATGCAGAAGTAATAAATAAATAAATAAGTAATGAATTAAATTTTTAAGAAATTCTAAATCATTTTAATCAAATTTTATATTAATATTCTTATTTTATTGATTTTGATGTAAAATTATGCTCGTTTATAGAAGATATTCACTAAAATAAAATAAAATAAAAAAAAAACTATTATTAATATACGTAATAAAAAGTCATGAATTAAATATCTCGTGGCTCATGAGGTGCAGGAAGTCGTTGCCAAGATGGCTCAACGCCCCAAATTTCACGAGCATATTCTGCAATAGTTCGATCCGATGAAAATTTTCCTGAAGAAGCTATATTATTAATTGCCATTTCAATCCATTTGCTTTCGTCCTAAAAAAATCAATTAAAATATGAAATACAATAATCGAAAAATATAATCATTATTCTGAAAAAATTGCATGATATTTTTTTATAGATTTTATGTAAATATATAAATATTTTTATATATTGACACACCTGGTAAACTTTACTGACATGATCTTGCATTTTTATATAGCTCTCATAATCGGCAAATAAATAAAACCTATCCCAGTTTAATAAAACATTAGTAATATCTTTAAATTCATCTGGATTATTAGGACTGAAAAAGCCACTTTGAATTTGATCAACGCATTGTTTTAATTCTGGTATTCTATTATAATAATCATAAGCATTGTATCCTTTTTTTTTTAAATCTTCTACTTCATCAACAGTCATACCAAAAATGAATATATTTTCATTACCCATTTCTTCGGCCATTTCTACATTAGCACCATCTAAGGTACCAATTGTCAAGGCACCATTTAACTAAACGAATATAAAATGAATTATAAAATGAATTTATATTCATAAAATATATTATTATTCATTAAATTATTCATAAAATTATAAATTGTATATAAAATACATAATATAAAAATAAATTGCATATAAAATATACTTGCCATAAATTTCATATTTCCTGTACCAGAAGCTTCAGTACCTGCAGTAGAAATTTGTTCACTCAAATCTGCTGCTGGAATTATTTTTTCCGCTAATGTAACCCGATAATTTTCAAGAAAAATGAATTTTAATTTATCACCAACAATAGGATCGTTGTTTATAACATTTCCTACACTACAAATTAACTTGATAATTTTTTTGGCTAAATGATAACCGGGCGCAGCTTTTCCTCCAATCATCACCGTTCGAGGAACGAATAATGCAGTTGGATCTTTTTTTATTCTATTGTATAACGTGATTACGTGTAAACAATTCAGAAGTTGCCTTTTGTATTCGTGTATTCGTTTCACCTATTTTATAAAAATATATATTTCAGATTAAATTTATATATAAAAAAAGGTTAATTTAATGTAATTACTTGAATATCAAAGATGGAAGCAGGATTGACTTTAACTCCATAATCTTTCTCAAGCATTTGCGTTAATTTTAATTTATTCTCTTGTTTCACTTTCATAACACTACGCTGGAAAACTGGATCTTTGGCCCATTGTTTTAATTGAGAAAGTTGTTCTAGATGTACTGTCCAATCACTGCCAATTTTCTAAATAATAATAATAATTGAAATTGAAAATGAAAAATTATGAATAATTAATACCTACTTCTTCGATAATATCTGAGAGATTTGGATTGCACAGAAGCAACCATCTTCTTGGTGTAATACCGTTGGTTTTATTTTGAAATTTTTCAGGTGTTAGTTCATAAAAGTCTTTAAATCTGAAATAAAAATAAAATGAAATTTATTATCAAAAATATTATTTATTAAAGAAATTAAACTAATAAAAATTTCAAATGCTCAAAAATACCTACACGCTTTGTTTCAAGATTTCCGAATGTAGTGCGGCGACTCCATTGATAGCATGACTACCAACAATCGAAAGATGCGCCATATTAACCCTTTTTTCACCCTCTTCTTCGATCAAAGACATACGTCGAAGACGATCTACATCTCCTGGATATTTAGCAGAAACGTCTTGTAAATGAAGGAAATTAATATGATAAATAATCTGCAAATGTCTTGGCAGAATGCTTTCTAACATGCTTGTCGGCCATCTTTCTAAAGCTTCTGGAAGAACTGTATGATTAGTATAAGCGCACGTTCTCGTTGTAATGTCCCAAGCTTTTTCCCAAGGTAATCCTTCAACATCGATAAGAATTCTCATAAGTTCTGGAATAGCCAACGAAGGATGAGTATCATTTAATTGAATAGCCACTTTATCAGGAAACATGTCAAAGTCTGTTCTATGATGTTCTCTTGAACCAAATTTGCTGGCTTTATACCTATAAATAATATGTTAAAAATTATTAAATATTAATAATAATAATTTAATATTGAAATTAAATATCATATATATTAAAAATTATATTAAATATATTTTTTTGATAATATATATATAATATAATTATTAATAAAAATATTATAAAATATTTTACATGTTTTACAGATATATTTTATTAATAATAAAATTAATTTATAGTAACCTTCGTATAATATCTTGAAGAGTTGCTGCTACCATAAAATATTCTTGTTTTAGACGTAATTCTTTGCCTTCAAAAAAATTATCATTAGGGTATAATACTCTAGAGATATTTTCCGCCAAATTGCGATCTATTACAGCTTGAATATAATCACCATCATTAACTAAAAGAAGAATAATTTGTTTTCATGGTATAATTTTAATTTTTAAAATATAAAATATGATAAAAAAAATTGCCTACAGAATTTCAAATTAAATTCCACAGGAGATTTAGCAGACCATAATCTGAGAGTATTGACAACATTATTTTTGTATCCAGGAACTGGATTATCATATGGCATTGCAAATACAACCTGACCATAAAACATATATTTTTATTTTATTAATAAGTTTAACCATTTAACTAGCTTATTTTATTTGTACTGACTTGAGTATTGATCCACTTCTTTCCTTCAGGAGTATCAATCACCTGTCCATAGAAATTTACTGGAAGCATAAATTCTGGTCTTGCTTTTTCCCATGGATTTCCATAACGTAACCAATCATCTGGTTCTTCCACTTGTTCTCCATTTTTTATTTTTTGTGCGAAAATACCGTATTCATATCGAATACCATAACCATAAGAAGCTAGACCAAGAGTAGCCATGCTATCCAAGAAACAAGCTGCCAATCTTCCTAAACCTCCATTTCCTAAGCCAGCATCCTCTTCAAGCTCTTCAAGCTCTTCTATATCCAAACCCATCTATAATTAATATTAAATATAAAAATATAAAAATATAAAAATATAAAAATATAATTAAAATATAATAATATAATATAATAATTAATTTTTTTATATAATTTTCCTTAAATTTTTTATTAATAATTAATTTTTAAATTTTAATAAGAAATTTTATTTGAAACAAACCTGATACATAGCTTCATCACAAGCACCTTGAATGCCCAAATTAATCATAGTGTTTTGAAGAGTTCTTCCCATGTAATATTCCAAAGATAGATAATAAACTCTCTAAACAGAAAAAAAACAGACTAAAGATATATTATAGACTAGGAAAGATAATAATAATATTATGAAAATTTTTAATTATAAAATAAAATTTTAAAAAATTAGAGATAATCTATTTAAAAATAAAGTAATAAATATATTCAATTATAATTTGAGAGAAAATTGTATTCCTTATATATACAAATATACCAAATATTTTTTTAAAGAAATACAGAAAACTTCGATTCGAAATGCAATAAAAAAATCGATTTCATGTTGCAATGATCTAAATTTAATTTTATTGTATCTTTTCTATATTTATTATGAAATTAATTAATGATTGGATTTTGTATTATGTGATTGATAATCCATTGATACAAATAAAAATAAATTGAGCAGACATTTTGAAATAATTTGAGAAAGAAATGAAAGATAATGCCTAGTTGAAATTGATCTTGATTGACTCCAAAATTCTTCATATGTTTAAGAATCGTTTATAGCTAATATAATAAAATAAAATAATATAAATAATATTTATAGCTTAAATTATTGATGTTTACTTTTAAAAAAAACTATAATATCCATAAAAATTGAATAAATATTTGCATAAATAAAAATAAACAAAAATAATAAAAAATTATCTTGGAAAAGATAATAAAGCAAACATTTATCGATTTATTTTATACGTATATAAAGAATTTTGAAAATTATACTTTTTTTTTAGCAATATTATTATATTCTTTATTTTTTTTTATGGAAAAAAATTAAAATTTATAATATTTTACATATAAAATATAATATTGTTTTATTATTTTACAATATTTGTTTCATTTAATAAAATTTGATTCATTTTTTAAGATCAATTTCTCAAATGCGATTGTATATATAAATTTTTAAAATAGTTTATAAAATAGTTTTTAAAATAGTTATAAAATAGCTTAGTTAGCATTCTCAAAACTTTT